CGTGACAGGTTTGCGAATATATAAATTTAGAAAACAAGTAACGTTTGTACTTGAACGCAGTGCAGTATGTACACATTTGTGCGTGTGCGCGCGCACGCGCCTCTGGTATTTCTACGATATATACGATATTAATATACAGCGGACTGATTAATACTTTGAATACGGAGAACATTTAACACCGCGGTGGGATTTGCAGCGTACCCGCCGGACTCCAAGTGTTAATTATACCGAACGACGCGGACTAATGGGAGCTATTTTCCCGAGGCATATGAGCATTAAATTAGCTTTAATGGTAATCAAGCATCATGCTTGATTATACCATCTATTATTTTTCCGCTCTTCTCAATTTTTCAGACTCCTGCAGGATTTATCTCGTCTCGACTCGAGACCCGGTTACGATCGAAATGATCGAAATGCTTTGCAATGATAACGTTCCTGTGCGCGAAATAGTCGTCTTATATTTGCAAAATGTATCTCCATTAATAAGACATATATCTAAATCGAGTTCGGAACGTCGCGAAATAACGAAAGGGAATCGTCTCAGTTTGCTCTAGTGATGCACCCGAGTCAAAATTTTGGTCTTATATTAAATCTTGAACTTTCTTTTGAACACTCTTGCATTTTAACGCAGTAGGAGCTAAGTAGACAGTAAGTAAAATAGATTTAATTCTAATGATGTAATTTACTCCTACTTTGACTCCGATGATGTCCGCAATTTCCCTTTTTCATTTTCTTTACGTTTTTCACATCAAAACAGGTTATATTATAGACTTCAGAATGTCAAAATAACTATTAAATGGAATAATAAAAGTAGGATTAAACTTTTGACTGGAGTAGGTTAAATAGAATCAAAAGAGGTTAAAATATGTTTTAGAGCATGAAAATAGGTGTTGAATGGAATATTAAGACTGAAAGTAGGATCAAAATTTCGACTCGGGATATTCTTAATTTAATTGTATACTTTGAGAGCGCTTGCTTATACACACACACACACACACACGATGAGGGAGCTAACTTGCACACCCTGAATATCTTCGAAGCAAAAAACAAAGGTGGCCTTCAGATCTGCAAAGTTGCTCCACTTAGAAAAAAGTATTATCGTCATAAGAAACTTTTTTCCTAGGTGGAATAGCTTCGAAGATCCGAAGGTCACCTTTGTTTTTTTATCTCTAAGATATTCAAGGTGTGAATATGTGTGAAGACATGCAAGTTAGGTGCTTCATTTTCTGTGTATACACTGAGCAAAGTCTATTTGGATCTAAAATATTTGGTATACGATTTGATTGGTATTATATGTTTTTATTTGTTATATTAAGTAGATATTTTATTGAGAAAACATAACATATATATAGTGGTAATAAAATTGTTCAGTTACAAACATTCCATTGATTCCATTTTAATCAAATTTTGGCAAATATTATTTGACAATTGCAACTAAAAAATTTAATTGTTTCTGTGTATATTTAGTTTTCCTAATAATAGATATATTTAGCAAAAATGAAAAAAAACATGTAATGCCAACCAAATATTTTAGTTTCAAATAAAAAAATAATTTTTTCAGCGTGCGTATTCTCAATTTAGCTGTATATATATAGAATACTTATATATAAAAAATATATATAATATTTATATACAGAAGGTTAAAAAAATACATGCAAGATTTATAGAATAGATAGTATTCGCTAAATTGAGTAAAAATACTTATTATAACTGAATACGAACCGAAATCTTTGTTCTAATCTTCCTAGAGTTGGAAGTGATTTTCAGTCTTGATGATATACACGATTTGCTCGCTTATATTATTACATGCGGCATGAAAACAGAAGATTATCTTATAACTGTGTAACTGTGCGACGCTGAACAGATGTGTGATCACAGATCGCAAAGGCAAATATCTAATATTTTGAATTAAAGTAAAAGATGACAAGATAATATCTTGTGTTGTGTGAATTTATACGTAGAAATGAAAGAACATGCCGAGTACTTTTTGTAAACATGTTGATAAGAATGTTATGAGATAATCTTCTGTTTTCATGACGCGTGTAATAATATAAGTGACTAAATCAAGTATGTTATTAAGATCGAAAGTCGCCTCTAACTTTGAAAGAATTAATTCGTGTTCATCAAATATTTTTTATTATTTTTTAATGAGACTTATCTTTCTTTAAGTTTTGAATCCCTTCTTCTAATACCGTGTATAGAATAATTTCATATAAGCTTATTTCATAGAATAATTTCATATAAGCGGCTTAATCGCGCAGGCTCTCGATTGGCACGACGCAATCGAGAAATCGCCGACTCGGGTCGACAACGAAAGTGCTCGATGGCTGCTTGAATTTCTGACCAGGCGAAATCGCCCTTCGCCATCTCCCTTTTCTCCCTCATTCTCCTTTTCTTCCTTTCTTTCTCTCTCCTCGTCCGTGTTGTATCGTCCTCGCAGATCGACGCTTTCTGCGAATGGAACGGCCGGCATGCTTTCTCAGCATGCAGTCGCGCGCTTTCGGGTAGTTTTCACCTTTCGGCAGACACCCCCGCTGTTCCACCCCGTTGCCACTCGGCAGCCGAGGAGGAACCACCTTTGTGCGGTACTTTCGCGCAACGTCTTCCCGCTTTTCGTCTCGCGCTTTTATTTCGACTCTCTCTCTCTCCGTCGAGTTTCTTGCTCGCGCCACCCACTCTCTGTTTTCCCGTCCTCGTCACTTCGTCCTCCTTTCCTATCCTCCAACCCCCGCCAACCCCTTCGCGCACTATCTACTTGCTCGCTTGAGAATTTATAAATCGACGGTTTCTCGCCGTTCTTCCTCCCCGGACCGAATGAAAGCGATACATACTTCCGCGGCGAGTATTATACACCTCTTTTGTAACTAAGCCCTAAATTGAAATTCCATTAAAGTAGAATTCGCTCGAGATCAACTGAGGAATATGATTTCGTCATCTGTATGTCCCCGTCGCTCTCACCCCTCCTTCCCTCCACGCCTCCATCCGTCTCGCTGTGAAACTTACTTCGCGAAAAGCCCTCGTTCTCGAAGGCTTAGAACTCGGAAACTGCTCGTGTCTCATTTTCGCGCTCGGAAAGAATCGACTTTGAATTTATAATTGAATCTGTCGTCGAAATTAAGACTAGTCCGGCGTCGTCGGGTTTTTCGTCTCGATAATGAAGCGGGAATAGTATCACCTGGCGCGTGATGAATTGTCTTACAAGAGAGGAATTCTCTATATACGTATAGAGAAAATGACAACGTTATTTCGCGAGATTCCTTTGTTCGAGCTACATTAGAATGGAGCGCGGATAAGGGCAGCAAAGAGTGAAATATCGCGGCTTTTTTTCCGCCGTGTTACGTGGGACAGTTCTTCCGTTTTTATAGCCAGTTCTCTTTTCACAAGCTTCGTCCGTATCGTGTGCTGAGACGGCAGCAATAACTTAAATAACGGCGGAAAAATCGTCGGACATGGCGGCACCGAATAATAACGTCGTTCGTGCACGCTCTAACGCAATTCTCGTGTCGCGAGTCATCTCGAAGAAATAAATAGACAAAGAGTAATCCATTTGTAAAAGAGATGCGTCAAGTTGAGACTCGAAAGTTTCGAAATTGCACTGAGAGAAAGATTTTTGGCATTTGTCTATAATCACATACATGGAAAAATAATTGCTACAAATTATTGTGTCAACAAAGTTGTTTCTCAAAATTGAGTTCTACTATAATGCTAATAATAATGATAATAATAATAATAATAATAACTTCACATGCATGTTACCACTACCACTTTCGCATAAAAAGAACCAAAAAATATGATTGGGTCCAAAAATAATTATAATTTTAGTTGGGTCCAACCATTGTTTTCTCATAACGTGTCTTGAAATTATGAAAATAATTGCTGCATATTTTTCGCAATAGTTCTCTTGATATATGCTATATTTCATCGCGAATTGCTACCACAGGAAATCTTTTTTTTCGGTTTAAACGTGAGAATCCAACATTAGGATATAATTAATAGAATATAATTAATAAATTAGAATATAATTATATTCGTTTGATATTAATTTGCTCTCTAGGGAGGAGATGTATTATAAAGCGTATATCTCAAATATGCACCGATACAATATATGCAAAATGCAAAATGTGCTAAATGGCGTGCGCAGAGTGCACGCCTGTATTATTCTAGTAATATAAATAAAGAATAACAGCAATATCGTAAAAAAGAGAGAATAATTAAAAATAAAATAACCGAAGTATAATGTGGATATAATTATTAAAAATCATATTCAATAAATATCACAGAGAATGTAAATAATCTTATATCATATTACATATAAATAGAAATAACCGGAGTTCTCTCTATTTTCTCTTTCTTTCTCTCTCTCGTTTTTTTGTTTACGACACGAAATTGATACAAGTGTAATGTCCATTCTCTTCGAATTCGCGTACGAATACGTCGGAGATCGCAGGTTTAACGCGATTAACACCCGAACGTGAAATCGCGAGTGTCTCTTTCCGGCGGAGCTTTTGCGGAACGAGATCCACCCCCATCGGTCGAGCGCCCGACGATCGAGGATCCACATCTAGGGATCGTGGCAGGGAATCAGCAGACGGCTTCGGTTAAGGTCTCCTTCGGTTGTTCGATCGCGGGCTCGCCCGGCAATTTTTCAGCGCTTCTCGTCGCTAATGTTCTCGCCGGAGAGGAACACCCTGAGCGCAACCACCCCCGACCAAGTACCATCGCCACCGCCACCGCCAGCACCACCACCGACACATCGTCCGCTCTTCTGCCACCCCTCAGCTGTGTGTACCGGCCGCGCTATGGGACGGACGGACAGGCAGACGGACAGACAGACAGACAGACAGACAGCACCAACACGAAGAGCAACCCTCTCGCACCGCCGCGCTTTCCTCCCTTCCTCCTCCGAGCATCCCTTCGATACGCGGCTGCGCACGGCGAACGGCGCGAGGCGTCGGCGTCGGCGTCGGCGTCGGCGTCGGCGTCGGCGTCGTCGTCGGCGTCGGCGTCATGCCGGGGGCGTCGCACCATCGTCGTCGGCAGCGAGCGTCTCGACTGAACGTCCTCGTCTCCCCAGGCCAGTATCAAGCCGGGACTCGCTGTCGAGAGGGTCGATCCACCTCCTGCTGTGTGCTCGGTGAAACGGTGAACCGGTCGTGATCAGAACGAAGAGAGATAGAGAAACAGAGAGAGCGAGAAATAGAGAGAGAGGAGAGAGAGAGAGAGAGAGAGAAAAAGTAGCGACGCGACGAGGACAGGCAAGCGCACGAGGAGGGATTCACGTCGCTGGTGCGCGCGTTCGCCGTGTGTATGTTCGCGCTTTCGCCGGAACCACCGCCGAGGGTGGCGAGAGACAGACGGAGAAAAATGGAGCGCGCGACGACGAGCGCCGGATCGATCGCGATATGAACGGACCGCCGGCTCGAGGAGGACTCGAATATACCGACCGCGAGCTCGCGAGCGTCCCTTGAGCAGTGTCTGATGGTTTAACCGGAACTCGCGAATCCGCGCGATCCGCCGCAAGGGACTGTCGTGTGCGGGCGCCATTGAAAACCACCACGCACGCACCACGAGCTCTCGGCAGCGGTGAACGGCGAGTCGTGGCGAGCGACGTGCCGAGCGCGATCACACGGAGAGAGGTTGGCCGCTCTCTCGTGATTCTGCGTCGCGACGCGTCGGAGAGGGAGGGACAGAGAGCCGCGGTGTGTGGTGAAAGTGCTCATCGCGTGATTAGGTCGAGGTCGTGTCGCCTGTCGCTGGGACCCTCCGTCCGGTGTGACCTTCGCCAGGTGCCGCCGGAAATGAGGCTCGAGGTTAGGTGACGTCCCTCGCGATTCCCACAGACAGACTCGCGCGACACCCTCGTGATCACGACGCTCCGCGCGCTCCGTGCTCGTGATCGCGAAACTCGCCTGCCTGCACCTGCAGTCGCAGAGGAGTCGCGGTGAAAGTGTGTCATCGACGTGACGCGACGCGCCGCGCTACGAGAGAGGCGACTCGAGGGTTGCAGCGCGCTCCGACTAGGCACCCTCCGCGTGAAACGGCTCCCTCGTCGTCGTCGTCGTCGTCGTGGCGGTTGTCGCCGGATTACGACGTGCGGTCAGTCCGAGGACTCTCCAGGGAGAAACGGGAGAGCCGACCACCGAAGATCGCATCGATGATCTCTCTTGAGGTTGATCGCTGAATTTTCCATATCTTTGCGTCGTGTCACTGCGAAATCATCCACTAGGCCCACTGATGTCACGCTCTATGCGGACAAGTCTGAGGAAGTAACTCATCGAAGAAAAATCCGAGAATCGAAGTGTCGACTGCCGTGTGAGACGTTTCCAGAAGGAGTGAAAGGACTTGCTCCGTGTATTTTTTGACGCGCTTGAACAATCGTGAACGCAACTGATGGTCCCCGTATTGGGAATCGATTATCAGCGAACGGTGTCATAAGGCGGATAACTTCGTCGAGGTATTTTCGAGGAAAGAGTACTAACTCGATCTGTCGATCTCTTTGATTTCTATTCGCGACTCGGACAGATTGCTTCTGGAATAAGAGCGAAGCAGTTTTCGTCGCGAGTCAATTCAGTGACTGCAGGAAGGAGGAAGACGCCGCGTGGATCTCTTTCTCTCTCGTCGCGTGTTCAGTGTGTTTCCCGAGTGCTCTCTCGAGTAGGTGGAGATTCGCGGATTTTGCGACGCATCATCCAGCCGACTGATCGAATTCGAAATTCAAGACATATCCGAAAATATCGATTTTTACCGATTTTACAATCGACGAGCCTGACGAAGCTCCGATTGTAGTAATCCTATTGGATATAAGGCCATCTTACTTATCATCGGGCTCACCTTTGCGGAAGTCGAGTAGGAAGCTTCAAATTCACCGATTCGAAGTGACGCTTCAAACACAACGAGAACTAACGACGCTGCTTCCGGAATGCACGCGTTCGCTCGCAGATACAGTCGACGTGGTTGAATCGCGGATTCGTCGTTCTTCCGGGACAACATCGGCGGGGGTGAAGAACGATTCTCCCGAGTTCGTTCGGCGACAAGTTGCGAGGGGGCTCGGGGGATCGTCTCGTTAATCGAGGACACCCACTTACGCGGCAGATAGACAGGAAAGGAGAAAGAGCGAGAGGAGCAAGAGAGGAGGAGAGAGGAAAAGAGAGAAGGGACAGAGCCACCGGGCACGAGCCAGCGCGTACGCTCACAAACCGCGTATCACACCCACGCGATCCGCGCGTGCGTGCTCTCACGTGTGCGAATGCAGCCGGGTGGCACAACGTGGCGGTCACGCACCCACGCTCCGAGCTGCTCCGCGGGATGCGTATGAGCGCGTGACGTTATCGCGCGCGCCATACACACACACACACACACACACACACACACATACACTTACACTCACACGTACACTCATCCATATCCATACACATACACTCACATCCATACACATATACATAGACACGAGCAGCCCACGCGAAACACGGACGAATGAACAGGATCTAGCGACCAGTTCAGAGAGTAATCATGCATCCCTCGCCTTTGCTGGTGGTGCTGCTGCTGCTGCCGCTGCTGTTGCTGCTCGAGCGCTGCCAGCTGGCACGCTCCTTCCTGTTGGAGGGCTCCGCGACTAGCTACGCGCAATTTCGCAAATGGAACTCCGGCTTGAACGGCACCCTGGAGTTCGAGTTCAAGACCGAGCAGGGCAACGGACTGCTGTTGTACACGGATGACGGTGGCACTTACGACTTCTTCGAGGTGAAGCTGGTCGAGAGCGCGCTCAGGCTGAGGTATAATCTTGGCGGCGGTGCGCAGATCGTTACGGTTGGCCACGATCTCGGTGACGGCCACTGGCACAAGGTGCAGATCACCAGGTGCAACGAGAACACCACATTGACCGTGGACGGTGTCGGCGCGGTCTCGACGTCGCGCGGCAAGGAGTTCGAGTTCGGCAAGCTCGCCGGGAACTCGGATGTCTACGTGGGCGGCATGCCCAGCTGGTACAACAGCAAGCTCACGCTGCTGGCGTTGCCTAGCGTGATATTCGAGCCCAGATTCAATGGATATATTAGGAATCTCGTGTACGCGGACGGCGAGAATACCGTGCCCAGGAGGCAGGAGATGAAGAGCCGAGACATCAAGGTATGTCGCGCGTCACATTAATACCGCGTGTTCGATCGTGGGTTCGGCTCCCTGATCCTCGTTCGCCGCCCGTTTCGCGCGTGAATTTCTTGGCCAGGCAACTGGATCGACAAATTCTTCGACGCGCAATCGCGAAAGCACTGAAAAAACACGGTCTCTGGTCCTTTTCGCCAACTTTAATCGAATAAAAAATGCGCAATCGTAGGATAATAAGAAGGTTAATTAATATTAATATTAAAAAAATTCGAGTCAGTTCGACGTGGAAAGGCTGATTTACCGCGTACGTTAAAAACTACCTCATCAGGTGCGTTTACATTGTCAAACATTATTATCCTTTCGACATTTGGCAAAATATTCGCTCCAACATCAGACTTTTATTGGTCTAAAATATGTTTAATTTAAACTGCCATTTACGATTAGAATGGTGCAATGAAATTATTCTATTCGGGAAAAGTGTTTTTAGTAAGAACGGCTATAATGTTAGCGATAATATAAAGCTATCGCTACACTGAGAGAAAAAATAATTAAAATTAAATTAAAATTATTTTTGACCACACAAATATATTTTTGGATTGTTCTAACACGAAAATGGTAATAGTAACATACAGATGAGGTTATTATCATTAATATTATAGTAGAATTTAATAAAAAAATGATTCTTTCGACCATAACTTGTATTTATTTATCTATGTGATTATAGTCAAAAACTTTTTTTCTTAGTGTACTGCTACTCTTTGTTTAGGAAAACAGAAACATATAGCTGATGCCGAGAATGACTCCAATTTTAGTGATTCTCGCCGGTTTTGTGCACAAATTTCTTCGTGATTGAATTAACAAACTAAATTTATTTTTTCTTGATATACAAACACAAAAGCACAGAGAGAGCAGTGTCTCAGAATTGCACAATGAAAGAAATGATTATAATTGGGAAAAAAATATATTTGTAGCAAGAGCTGCGGATATTGTCAACGACAATAATCTTATATACGTATTATTACTGCTACTTTTTTGTTAGAACGGCAGAAGAGTCCGACGCCGAGATTGAGGTAATTTTAGTGAAATCGACTGTGTTTTTTCCCTCCCTTTCTTTCTCTCTGTCAATGAAGTAGAGAAAATGGAAGTCGGCGCGGATGCGGCGAGTGTTTGATTAAAATTGCGCAATTTCTATAATTTTAATGAAACACTCGTCGCGCATCATCCGCCCTGGCTGTTACCCGTCCCCTGCTTCTCCCCGCCATTTCCTCCCTTTTGATTTTCGCGATTGCGTCCCCGATGGACGTGCACAACACGTCGTGACGTGCGCGACCGAGCGCGACGACAGGAAGAAGGGGGCTCCGCGCGGTCCCCGGGAACGGAGGTCGACGGCGAAATTGGTGAGGCGACCGCCCGCGAGTTATCCGACAGTTTGACTCGGCCAACAGCCACAAATCTCGCGGACGCGTTTACGACGAAGGGGAAAAGTATCAGCGCGCCGATCCGGGGCACCCGCGGCGATTTCCGACTACGCAAGTTGACCGGGGAAGGACCGGCCGTTGTAGTGTCGATGTCGTTGACCGTGTGCAACACCACGCGGCCGTTAGCTGAGTCAGGTTCATCGGGAAATTCCTCCTGACGCGAACGAAAAGCGCGTGCGCCCCGTCAGCACAAAATCGAGACTTTCCCTACCCGCGAATCTCGTATACACGAGGGACTAAAAATAAACCCTTCCCATTTACGGAGGCCCACTACTACCCCGCGTTGTTTTATCGCCCACTTCCGACGATCGATACGCCTCCCTCCATTGTCCGCGGCAGGGACATCTTCCCCTGACACTCCGGCGTGTAATAATTAGCAAGCGGATAATCCGCGCCCGACAATCTCCGCTCATCTCGAATCTTCGCGGAGCGCGCGCACGCATCGTATATGTATGTGTTTGTTGGTGTTGCCGATCATTTGACATTTGCCATTCGAGCCGTTTTTTTTCGCTCACATGATCGTACAGCACATTCCATTCCGATGTGTTCGCCCGCGCTGGCACCCTGCGGAATTTACTACGCGTTACCGTAGAAACTGAGCTCGGTTCATGTTTCTCTGGATGGCCGTACGCCAAGAATTCCTCCGTTTACTCCTTCGGATATGTTTCTCGCTTTGTCCGAGCATCCTCGGAATCTTGTATCTCGTTCCGAAAATAATCTCGTATTTAGCCTGGCTGGACGTGCTCGTTATTCGCGGTGATTCCGGTGTTATTCCGGTGTCTTTCGTGCCGGCGGATAGAAACTCGCCGAACGAAATCGATGGGTTCGAGCCGATAATCTCGAAATAAGCGGCAAAAGTATCGAATGTTTTTGCATACACGCTGGAAAAAAGTCCGAGTGAAAAGAACCAGGTCTCTGCGTTACGCTAAGCTTTGGGCAAACTGCAGCCAAGTCACGTTGAATAAAAGTCAAAATCGACAATCCGCGTGATGTAGAAATTTCAATTATAAAAATTTAGCCAATTGTGAACATTTAACGAAACTGAAACTCGACTGAAAAAATTGACTGAAAATCGAGTCAAACTGGGTTAAAATCGAGTCGAATTGACGAAATATCAACTATTAAATTTAATTAATTGTGTGAAAGTTAACAAGACTAAAAAACTCGAATGAGAAATGACTGAAAATGAAATCGAATAGAAATCGAGTTGTATCAACAAATCGATGTAGAAATCTCAACCACAAAATATAGTCAATTGTGAAGAGTTGACGAAACTAAAACTCTAGTAAAAACTGAGAACCGAGTGAAATCGAGTCAAAATGATTGAGAGAAAGTCGAGTTAAATTGAATAGTGAAGACGAAACTAAAAATTTGGCGAAAATTGACTGAAAATCGAGTGAAATCGAGTAAAAATCGTGTCGGATCGACAATGTGGCGTGAAGATTTGCACTGCGAAATTCAGTCAACAGGTTTTCAGACTCGACACGAGTCGTCTCGAGTGATCTTCTTTTCCACTGTGCGCATAATCGAGCGGCCAGCTTCGCTATCTCGCAGACTGGCAGTATTTCGTATGGCTTGTCCATAGAACATCACCGTCTGTGACGAGGATATCACATTCGTAAATTTAGTCACCTCGCTGCTCGATTGGCCACACGTGGTTACGACGGGCGCGTATCCGCTCGCGATTAGATAAGGCGACAAATCGAGAATATCCGTCAGGAGGATCGCCGTGCGATTGCCGCTGCAACGATGTAACTCGGTCGACGTTATCGTCCTCCGTACATCTATACGGGACATCGTCGCAACATGGATAGATAACCCAGATTTATCAACATACAAGAAATTGGGTGGTGTCGTTGTCGTTTAATTGCCACTCTTTCCAATTGTGCACACCTCGAACAAAAGGAATCGAGTGTCTGCGTTACGCAAATCTTTTTGCAGCGAACTGCAGTCGAGTCACGTTGAATCAAAATCAAGTCGCGTTGACAATCTGATGTCGTGAATCTCAACTACAAAATTCCGCCAATTGTGGATAGTTAGCGGAACTAAAAGTCGAGTGAAAATTGACTGAAAATCGAGTCACATCGAGACCTGGCAGTTGTACGCTTGTTAACACTTCGAGGGAGTGGACAACTTTCGAGTAGTGGACGTCCCACCTAACTATTCTTCATTTTTAGTGATTTCAACTAACTTATTGGCATAATCGATTATATTATTATTATACATCCTTATAAACATAAGGAATCAAAAATAAATAAAAAATAATCTGAACTTTTAATTGTTAAATTATTATAAGCAAATAAAAGTAAAAAAGTAAGCACTTTTCCAGAAATCATTTTAGAATTAACTATTAGGAACCGGCATATTGAAACATTAATAGTTTATTAAGGATAATTAGCAGTATTTTACACATTCTTTTTCAAAAATTTCTGTAAGTCCTATTTTTTACAATAAACTATTGAAATATTGACAATATTTCAATAATAATTTGAATAGTATAAATAATAATTGCAATAATATTGCAATTTGTTGCAAGTTTTTTGTCAGAAACATAATCTTTTTTTTATATCGAAGAAATATTGTCGTTACTTTCGGATAATGTTGAAAGCAAAATTGCTAATTTTGAAAACTTACAATCGCTATATTGAACCCGACAAATAAAATTTTAACTTTCTGACCTAAAATTTGTAATCAGCAACACCGAAATCTCTCATATACTCTCATATAGTATATATATCTCATATACTCTCATATAGTACATATATTTGAAGAAACTTGGAACTTTCCTAGAAATAAAACGTGTGGCTCAAAGAGTTAATCGATAAGAGAAGAAAAGTATCATGATCGAGAAACGCGACATCTATCGTTTTCGTACGGAGCGTTCTCTTTTTCTCCTTTCCCTTTTTTAGAACGAGTGGAGAAGATAAGCGCCGAAATGAGACACGGTCTACCGTGTCTCTGGCGGAAAATCGCCATTTCCGTCTCGTTACTGATTGCTTCGTATTAATATCGCCTCTCTGTCATCGTTAACATCGTAATGTACGTACTGCACGAGAAGCGATTATCGCGCCGACCGGTGAATAAGCGCGATCGCGACCAGCCGGCTACAAATGGCTGTCGTGGAAAAAGCGAGCAATTAGTCGTAGGAAGCAATTATTTCGTACCTGTTACTCCCCCGGCGCGACTGTATCGCGTACAAAATGAATTACATAAACAGCCGACGGATGGACGGGGAGAATTGGGAGTAGGGATTCGACGAAAGGAATAAAAATCACTGCGGTAACGCGCGTGTGACTTCTCTCTATTTCTTTCTCCGTTTGTTAAACTTTCGTGTCGAAATTGCGGGCGCAAAAGAAGATGAAATGTTTCGTTTTCAAATGAGTTAGGTAATGCTCTGAGATTCAAAAAATTAAATTATACAAGAAAAGCCAATGACGCGTTGGAAGGAAAAGTAAATATAAATATATTTTATAAGAACATAATATGTGTTAAATGGTAGTTATTGTTATATTTACGTAATTGTTATATTTACGTAATATAACATAT